TAAGAACCTCACTTCTTCAGATGCAAGTAATGGAAATCTCCAGAGGCAGGTATAAATCAGTGTGGAGATAACACTGTTATACCTGCCTCTGGAGATTTCCATTACTTGCATCTGAAGAAGTGAGGTTCTTACCCACGAAAGCTTATGCTCCCAATACTTCTGTTAGTCTCAAAGGTGCCACAGGACCCTCTGTTGCTTTTTGAAGGAAGGAAGGAAGGAAGGAAGGAAGGAAGGAAGGAAGGAAGGAAGGAAGGAGAATGAATGACCGAGTTTGCAAAGAGATGGATGAGAAAGAAAGATGAATGAATGAATGGGAATGGATGATTGCAAAAAACAAAATCTATAGTAACCTTGACCCAACCACCGCGCCCACCTACTCTATCCCCAGTGCCATTCCCCCGATGACCCGACATCTTCCTGCCCTGGGATCAGAACCCCAGCCCTGCTCAGCAGCCCCTGCACCACCACTGATGTTTGGTTCTCTCTCTTTCAGGCCCGTGTATGTCAACATACCCTTCAGGGCTGGCACAGGTGAGTAACACTCCCAGAGACACATACCCCACTGGTGGGAGACATGGAGTCTGGAACCCTGGGGCAGGGTCCATAGACACCGACTCCAGTGCCTCGAGCACCCACGGGGAAAAATTGGTGGATGCTTAGCACTCACTGGCAGTTCCCAACACCGCCCCCCTGCCCCAGCTCACCTCTGCCTCCGCTCTGCCTCCGCCTCATCCCCTAAGCACACCACGTGCCCGCTTTCTCCCCCAGCTCCCAGCACTTGTGCCATGAAACAGCAGTTTCGCACGGCTAGGAGGGACGGGGGAAGACGGGGAATGTGGTGCGCTTGGGGAAGAGGCAGGGCCAGGGCGGGGATTTGGGGAAGGGGTCCAATAGGAGCAGGGAGGGGGCGGAGTTGGGGTGGGCACTTTGCAGAAGGGGTTGGAATGGAGGCGGGGTAGGGGTGGGGATGGGGGGGGCATGAACACACACTGGTGCCGGGGAAAGTTGGCTCCTATGGCGGGGTCTCTGGGGCACTTACCCTTTAAGAGGGGAATTTCTGACTGCCGCACTCTGGCTTCCTTGTGGGTAACTCTAATCTGAGGTTGCCACCCAGCAGTTAAAGATGGGAACCAGAGCACAGAGGAGATATTTGCCCTCTGGGCTCTTCTGGGAGACCAGGCCGCAGGGCAGGGGGGGATGATCTGTTGTGTGATTAGCTCTGCAGCAATGGAGCCATGATGGGCAGGTCCAGCCGGTGACCCACAGCCAGCCGGCGCGGCCCAACAACCCTGGAGAGAAGTCCGTAGTGGGTCAAAATCCTCAGGAAAGGGACAAGAGAGAAGAGGATGCAGATGCCAGGGTAGGACGCAACTCCTCGGTAACATCTGGAGAATGCACCCCCCTCCTCTGAGCCCCACATCCTGCTCCTTGCAACACAGCTCCCCTGTCACTGCATAGGGGTCAGCAGAGACGCCAAAGGGAGAACCCCCCCCCCGTTCTGAGCCTCCCATCCTGCTCCCCACAGCACAGTGCCCCCTAGTGCCACACTGAGGCATTGGAGTCAGCACAGACTGCAGGGGGAGAGCTCCTCTACTAAAACCCCCCATCCAACGGCCTGCAGCAGAGCACCCCCTAGTGTCGCACCGAGGCATTGTAATCTGCACTGAGCAGAGAGTGGCCCCTACTGACCCTCCCATCCTGCTCCCTGCAGCACAGCATCACCTAACTGACATGAGGCCCTGTTCTTTCTTTCCTAGGTGAGCAATATCGTCTATTCTACATTGACTCCCCCTAGCGCCGTGGCCCAACGGAGAGGAGGAAAGTACGTCTCGGAGGATGTGGTGTACAGCGAAATCCCCTACTGATCACAGCCTCTGCCACCACCCTGTCCCCATCACACCCCACGCTGAAAACACCTCGCATAATGCCCCATCCCCCAAACCTTCCCTTCCCTGCAAACCCCTCTAATGGCCACAAACTTCTTCCTGGTGTACTTTGAATGTAAGAAAGTGTGGGGCTTGCAGACAGGACTCCTCGGTCCTATCCCAGCTATGGGAGGGGAGTGGGGCTAGTGGTTAGAGCAGGGGGTGGGGCTGCGAGCCAGGCTCTGCGAAGGGAGTAGGTTAGAACAGGGAGAGCAGTAATTCCTAACACTTGGGTTATTTTCAGCATACGGGTTAAAGGAGGGAGTTTGAATTTTAATCTGTCAAAGACAAGTGTTTGCAGAACTATGTGAAATAGTCCAGAGGGGCCCCTACCCCTGCATCTGTTCCAATGCACATTGCGCCCTTTTGTTGTGGGAAACCTTCTCTTACGATGGGATCCCCTGGATATTATTACTCTTGTTCCTTCGCCGTGGAGTTCTGGGTCTGTGTTTTCAAAAATCCTTTAAACAAAATGTAATCACATTGGTTTTCATTAAGGGGTTAGATAGGGGAGTGACCTTGAGACACACAGACAGATCTCATCCCCTCCAGTAGAGGGCAGAAGGGAGGAACACACACGGCTGGATGACAGCCTGCGAGCAGGAAATCTATGCAACATCCCAAGCATCGGAAGATCTTCCCATACTGGGATACTTTAATTGAACCACTGAAATGCAGCCAGCTCTGGGGTGAGGACTGACCACTCTTTAACACAGCGCTACCCCTCCAAAGGGATCTTCACCCGGGGCTGAAACACAGCCACTTCCGGGATATGGTTTAACAGCAGTTTAGCAGTGTCAGGCAGGGCCGCCCAGAGGATTCAGGGGGCATGGGGTCTTTGGCGGTCGGGGTCCTTCCGCTCCGGGTCTTCGGGGCACTTCGGCGGCGGGTCCCGGAGCGAGTGAAGGACCCGCCACCAAATTGCCGCTGAAGACCCGGAGTGGAAGAAGCTCCAGGTCTTTGGAAGCGGGTCCTTCACTCGATCCGGGTGTATTTGGTGGCACTGAAGGACCTGCCGCCGAAGACACGCCGAAAGCTCTCGTGGGGGCCCCTGAAAACTCTCATGGGGGCCCCTGTGAGAGCTGGGGCAAATTGCCCCACTTGCCCCTCCCCCGGGCGGCCCTGGCGTCAGGACAAATGCTGCAAAAAGGGTTCTCACTCCCAGCACCAAAATGCATCCACTTCTAGGGTGGAACCAGCAGAGCTGCTCGGGAGATGGGGGCATGGAGAAACCTGGGTCCAACTGAGGCTGCAATTTGACGGAGGTAAAATGAGTGATGAAAACACCAAGGGATCTGTGGTGACCATGAACAGTGAACGAAGGTGTATTTCATTTTAAACCAGACAGCACAGCGCCCCCTAGTGCCATGCTGGGGTATTGGGGTCACCATTGACTGCAGGGTGAGAACACCCCCTTCTGAGCCCCTGCCCTGCTCCCTACAGCACAGCGCCTCCTAGAGCCACACTCGGGGATTGAGGTCAGCACCTACTCCGAAGGAACAGCGCCCCCTACAGGCTCCCCTGCCCTGCTCCTGGCAGCGCTTTAGCGATCTCCCCTCCGAGCACTGACATCACCCATGTGTCTCTCCCATACACGGTGGGATTGGACCACAGCACGGGAGGCTACGCCAGTCTGTGTTGTTCCAGGCCTGCATGGGGTCCACAGCAGGGTCATAGGCTGAGCAGGGGAGTCCGGACTCACAGAGATCTGAGGCATTCCCTAAATCACCGGCTCGAATGCTCTCCGTGAGTTTGCTTGATAGCTCGCAACAGAGAACTCATTCGCTTTCCTACGACTGAATCTCGCCTAGTGTGTTGCCTGGAGGAGGCTTAGCCAGTGGCCAAAAGAGGAGGAATCTGGGACACGGAACTGCTGGGTTGGATTCCCCCCCCACTGAGTCGTGTGCCTCAGTTTCCCGCTTCTGTTACATGGGGATTGTCACAGCTGCAAACTGCGGTGAGATGCTCAGATCAAAGATGTGGCGGGGGGCAACAAAGGATTAAATCTCACCATCCATCGCCCTGTTCACAGTGCGGAGGCAGTATTTCACTCCAGCTCCTCGAGGCAGGGCTGCAAAGGTGGTGATGGCGCAGTGCGGGGGCGGGGGGGTCTATTAATTATCTCTGCGACTGCAATGGCACCAGCTGTTTCTCTGCAGCTGCGAGGCTTCCTGTGCCGGTTGGCTCCCCTGGGCTGCTGTGCCCTGCAGTTTCCTAGGCCAGGGCAGTGGCTGGGTTGCTATTGGCACCAGCCCCAATGCACCGAGCCTGGGCGTCCTGCCCTCCGTGTGATTAAGGGGTCGACGCACACCCCACGCTGGGTCTCCTTCCTGCTCAGAGACACACACACGGTGGTGGCTACTGCATTGACGTCCTCCACACACACACACACAGCTGCGTAGCCAGCATAGAGGGGTAGGTCTGTGTGATGCTGTACACTGACCATCCCCAGACAGAGACCTGGCCAGCCAGAGCTGGAAGCTGGCAAATCAGGGTCCTCTGGACATACCGAGATCTTCCTGCAGATTTCAAATGGGCTGACGGGACATTTGCTCCAAGCCACCTCTCCCTATCGTCTCTTCCCAACCGCTCCGCACCAGCCCCTTCTCCCCAGCCCTCTCAGTCTCTTTAGCTGATCCCTTCCTTACTAAACCCACCATCACCCCAAAATAGCCATGCTGACAGCTGCCACTCCATTGATCTCTCCGCTCGGGGTGTCCTACCCGTTCTCTCACCCCGTGGCCACCTGGGTCTATTTCAGTCCATGGCCAGTCTTTAGGCCCAGTTGAAACAGACATAGTGGGGCCGGCAGAGGTGAAAGAAAGCTTGTACGCCCCGGTAATGCGTACCGGGAAGAGCCGGTTTGCCGTACCAGGGCAGCCCGGCTTCCCCAGGGGGCTATTTAAAAAGTCCAGGGCTCGCGCTGCTTCTACCACCTTTAAATAGCCGCCGGAGCCCCGGGCTGCTGCTACTACCCCGGTGGGAGGGGCAGGGGCACTACCTTACAGGGTGGGCTGGGACTGGCTCTGACTCCCTCAGCCACGCCCCTTCTGCCCTAGGCCCCGCCCCTTCCGGGGGCCAGAGCTGGCCCCAGAGTACCGGTAAGTCACTGGACTTACTTTCATCCCTGAGAACGTCCTTCCCACCTAGGGGAGTTGGAGGGAGCTGCCCATGGGCGATTGGTGATCACACCAAGGGGAGACTGAATGGAAGGTTCAACCAGGCCAGGCAGCTGCTGTGGGGTCTGTGGCAGGGACACCCCCTGTGGAGAGACAGATCCAAAATGCAAAGAGCCAAAGGGCAGATGGGCTGCAAGGGGCAGGGGGACAGGGTGTCGGGGGACGTGGGGCAGGGGGACAGGGCACAGGGGCGCAGGCAGAGGGGGTGTGGCAGTGCAGGGGGAGGGGTGTCAGAGACCAGACCGAGCTCACCTGTCAGGAACACAGAGACGGGACGGCTTTCCCCAGATGGCACCACACGCCCGGCGCGCAGTGTCCGGTATGCAGACATACAGCCCGGCCATCCCCATCTCAGCCCTGAGCTCCAGCCGGGCACCCCCAGTTGGCTCAGGGACCCCATCAGCGATCAGCCCCCCTTGCTGCCTGTAGAATCTGTACGTGGTCACCCCCTCGCCCTGGGGAGCTGAGCACCTGAGGGTCACCCACTCCCCTGGGATGTACACGGGGTGTGGGGGAGCCAGAGTGAGCCGGGGGCGGGGGGCAGTTCTGGAGTAGATGGACAGAATGGGGTGCGAGAAAGGGAAAGAGACAGTTTGGATGAGACCCTCCAGCTCATAGCTGGTGAGCCCAGAGATGGGGCCCTTGCCCCCTGTGAGTGTCTGCCCCCAACCCCTCCCCCATTCTGTCCCTGCAGCCCAGCTGGGCCCAGAGTGGCCAGCACCAGAGCTGGTATCACAGGGCAGCACCACGTTAGATCACCAGTGTGAGCCCCACTCCCCCGCACGGCACTTATGCCCCCCACCACAAGCCATGCCAGGCCACACGCAGAGGACCACCAGCCATGGGTCAGGCTGTAGGAACCGGTGGATTCAGACCCCAGGGTCAATCTCCACTGCCCAGGCCCCACCTCTGGGAACCACATGACACCAGGGCCTCCTGCTAGTTGGTTCTGGCTCCATCACAGAGCAGCTGGGGCAGGCTGGGGACTGGTGGGATCAGAGGGGGATAGTGCAGGGGTCCCATAGGGCTCCAGGGAGGCTGCAATGTCCTGGCCGGGTTCGCCTGAGGGGTAGGAAGTGGAGATCTCGGAGCTGGCGTTGGGATGGGGCTGTGGCAGCAGGGCCAGGCCTGCATTCAGACTGAACCAGCCAGGCTCTTTCACTCCCCCTGGTTATACAAAGGTACTGGGAGCCCAGAGAGAGTGTAGGGGGAGACCAGGGGCCTGGAACAGAGGCAGAGGGGGAGACATCTGGGGAGAGGAAAAAAGGGGAAAGGGGCTGGTGAGACCCTGAAAACAGTGATAAAAATCCAGCCTCATTTCCCTGCCTGGTGCACTCTCCCAGCCTGTGAAACAGCACATGGCAGGTAACCCACAGAACAGATCATCCCTCACCACCCTGACATCCCACTGCAGGTGGGGGCTGCAGTACCGCCTCCTGCAACTGGGGGGCCCTGGTGGGGCTGGGGGCTGCAGTACCACCTGCTGCCACTGGGGGGCCATGGTGGGGCTGGGGGCTGCAGTACCGCCTGCTGTCACTGGGGGCTCGAGAGGAAGCGAGGGGATGGGTGCATTTTGGGGGGTGTCTGTCATCTGTAGCTCTCCCACCATTTATCAAAGGCACCAGCTGGTGCTTGTGGGCATGAGACCCCAGCAGAGACACCCCCACAGTCCCCTTGTCCCACACACTGCAACAACAGGGCCTCACCGGTCCTTGCAATGGAGACAGGCTGGCTCTCGGGGGATTCTCTTCACCTATTACACAACCCCCCACCCGCAAGCTCCTAACCCCCCTGGGTCCTCACCCACCCTCTTTCCCCCCCCCATTTCACCCTCCCTCTCCATCACCCCAGGTGGTTTCATGAGCCCCAGAAAAGCGGTGGCGTCTCCATCTCCCCCGTCTCCACAGGGACCCAGGGACAACTGGCACCTCTGGAGACCCAGGGCCCCAAATGCCCCCCCGCCCAACACCGAGCTCCTATCCCTGGCTGCAGAGGGGCGGACTCAGGAGGGCCCCCATATGGCGAGGCTGGGAAGCGCAAGCCGGGAGATGGAGAGACTGACAGGGTCTGTCTGTGCCCAGCAACCCCAGGAGAGAGTCTGCTCCGCCGGGGCCTGGCTCTGCAGGGAGGGCCCCAGGCCCCCGCCCCCCACCCTGAGCCTGAGAGCAGCCGACACAAGGTCTGCGGTCAGAGCAGACAGCTCCAGTGAGAGACAGGAAGTGGGGGAGGGGACAAGAGGAAGCAACAGCCCATCCCCCCCATCCCCAGCCAGCCAGTTCCCCACCCCAGGGGCCCTATGGGAGCCAGCGCCTCTAGAGGGGAAAGGCCCCGTGCCCATTTCCCACCCCCTGAGCCAGCCAGGCCACCCCCTCTCCAACAAAATGCACAGACCCCCGTGCACAGACCAGGGGATGAATCTGACCACACCAGCTGGGGGATGTTCTGCAGCCAGGCTGTAAGAGAGGAGACAAGAGAGGGGATGAGAGCTCTGGGGTGGGACGGGTGATGGGGGGCAGGATCGAGGGGTGTGGGGCAAAGGATTCAGGATACTGAATTTACAGTCCACCCCGGTATGTTATGGGGAGGAAAAGAAAGAAAGAAAGAAAGAAAGAAAGAAAGAAAGAAAGAAAGAAAGAAAGAAAGAAAGAAAGTGATTCAGTGTCTTGGGATGGGGCAGGACAGGGAGGAGGAAGGTCGGTGGATGGTCCAGGGCTGGACACGGAAGAGGGTGGGTGGATGGGGCCAGGGCTGGATGTCAAGACACCGGAGCTCTGGTCCCACTAGAGCTGGGCCTGGGAACGTCTCTGGTTCGACAGCCTGTCAGTGGGTCGCAGGCTGGGCTCCTGGCAGGCTGAAGGGGATCCTGGGCTTCCAGGCCCACAGATTGGGGCAGCCCTGCCAGGCCAGGCCTTGGAGGGGTGCAGAGGGTGATGCAGAGAGAAAGAACCGACACAGAGAGAACGAGACAGGACAGAGGAGGCGTGCGGAGGTCACGTGGGATTTATTTATTGTTTCACAGACACAATCCGGTCCAGCCAAGCCACAGCGTCTTATCAGCCACGCTCAAGGTGCGAAGACCTGCAGGAAACGAAGTCATTTTACAGCCCTCACCGACCTGTGTGCTGGTTTCAGGGACAGAAACAGAGCGGAAGGAAGAGGGAGACAAGAGTGAATGGACCGGGGTGGGGGGAGGAGTGAGGCGTGTGAGTGGAAGAAAGAGATAGAGAGAGAGATTGGAAGTGGGTGACAGAGGAAAAAGACAGAAACAAATTGTAGAGTGAGACAAAGAGCAGAGAGTGAATAAGGCAGGGGCCGAAGGAGGGGGGCAGAGGGGAAGGGGGAACCGAGGCAGGGACCGAAGGAGGGGGGCAGAGGGAAAGGGGGATGAAGGCAGGGGCCGAAGGAGGGGGGCAGAAGGGAAGGGGGAACCGAGGCAGGGGCCGAAGGAGGGGGCAGAGGGAAAGGGGGAATGAGGCAGGGGCTGAAGGGCGGGGGCTGTTCCCCTGTTGCCCCACCCCAGAGTTGGATGCATCTCAGCCCCAGGCGGGACATCACGTGCAGTGCTATGTGTGGCTGTCCCCCAACTGCCCCAGTCCAGAGCTGGCTGCATTTCTAGGATACAGGATATAACAGGATCCAACCCTGTCCCCCCCGCACCCCAAAGCCCTCACTGCTCACACCTGGAGCTGTGAGCCCGAGCGGTGCACAGCGGCTGGTAGCTGCAAGGCATGCTGGGAGCCCCGAGGCTGGGCCGTGGTCGGCCTGGCTTTGAGCCCGCAGCGCTTGACGCCTCAGTGCTGGGGCGGGGTAGTGGCTGCATCCCTCACACAGCACTTCCTCTCGCTGCACCAAGGGGGTCCCCATGGTCCCGGCTACTGTCAGCAGAGAGACAGGGCCGGGCGCCGGGGATGCAGCTCCCAGCCTCGGCCCGCTCAACCCAGTATGGAGCTAACTGGCCTTCTCCCTGTGCTGGGTGAGTGACCCCTCCCAACCCTGCTTCTGCTCCTGCCTCGGTCCCCCCTCTCCTCTGCCCTCTCCTTCTGCTCCTGCCTCAGTCCCCCCTTCCCCTCTGCCTCCTCCTTGGCCCCTGCCTCATTCTCCCCTTCTCCTTTGGCCCCTGCCTCCTTCCCCCCTTCCCCTCTGCACTCCTTCTTCGGCCCCTGTCTCATCCCCTGTGTGTCTGTTCTTCCTCTCCTAGGTACCCTATGCACCCCTCCCTCCACCCCTGTCTCATTCCCTCTCTCCCTCCATCAGCGCTCCGCACCTCGGACGCCTGGGTTCCTTCGAAATTAACAGGACTGGAGCCTGTTTCCAGGAGGTTCAGTTCCACACAGGCAGACTCTGGGTGGGGCCCCTCACACCTGCCTGGGGCCCCTCCAAAGGGCTTTTCCCTACTCCCCAAGGGCAGCGGCCCCTTCCTAGAGATCGCTGGGGCTGGCATCCCCTTCCAGCTCCAGTGCTTCAGCTGGTTATTCTCCGCTGGGCGAGGCCCTGCCTAAAGTTCCCCATTGCCCTGCAGCACGGCGTCTGCTGCTGTGCAGGGAGCTGCAGCACGGAGCCTAAGCATGTTGTTTGATGGGGAATTTCCTAGAGCAACAGGCCCCATCAGGCCAGGCACTGCCCAGACTCTGGCCGATGTCAGGGCCCCTGCTGTGTCAGGCGCTGCACAGACCCTGACGGAGATCCAGGCCCCTTTGTGCCGGGTGCTGCACAGACACGGATCAGAGCCCACCCTTGTGAATACAGACAGTAAAACTGACAAGAATCGTGTCAGTTTCACCCAGCAGCTGCCAGGGTCTGGGGCCCCTGCCATGTGCCAGGCTCTGCCCCCACAGCTCCCAGGCTCCAGGACTGGCCAGGTCCCAGGCAGGCAGCGGGAAGGCCTGGCCTGGCTGGGCTGCCCCAGATCTGAGGCCCTGGGAGCCCAGGATCCCCTGAAGCCTGCCAGGAACCCAGCCTCCGATCCACTGACAGGCTGTCGAACCTGAGACATTCCCAGGCTCAGCTCTAGTGGGACCAGAGCCCAGGTGTCCTAATGTCCAGCCCTGGCCCGAGCCACTGACCCTCCTCCGTGTCCAACCCCAACCCGAGCCACCGACCTCCCTCCTTGTCCAGCCCTGACCCCATCCACTGACCCGCCTCGGTGTCCAGCCCCCGCCCCACCCACTGACCCCTCTCCATGTCCAGCCCCGGCCCCATCCACCAACCCTCCTCCGTGTCCAGCCCCGTCCCCTCCTCCGACCCTCTTCCATGTCCAGCTCCAGCCCCATCCGCCGACCCTGTTCTGTGTCCAGCCCCCGTCCCATTTGCAGACCCTTTTTCTTTCCTTCTTTCCCCTTTCTCCCTGTAACAGAATAGGATGGTCTGTAAATCCAATATCCAGAGTCATTTGCTCCACACCCCTCGCTCCTGCCCCCCAGCACCCGTCCCACCCCAGAGCTCTCACCCCCCTCTTGTCTCCTCTCTTACAGCCTGGCTGCAGATCCTCCCCCGGCTGGTGTCGTCCGAGGGGACTATGGGACCTGGTTCATCCCCTGGTCTGTGCAAGGGGGGTCTGTGGGTGTCGTTGTTGGAAGGGGGAACTGGCTGGCTCGGGGGGCTGGAGAATGGGTCACGGGGCCTTTCCCGTCTAGGGGGCACCGGCTCCCATCTGGTCTCACCATGGGGGCGAGTGGCTGGCTGAGGGGTGGGGGATGGGCTGTTGTCATCTCTTGTCCTCTCCCCCCATTTCCTGTGTCTCCTGACCACAGCCCCTGAGTCGGCTGCTCCCAGGCTGGGGTGGGCGGTGGGGGGCTGGGGCCCTCCCTGCAGAGCCAGGCCCCGGCTGAGCAGAGTCTCTCCTGGGGCTGCTGGGCACAGACAGACCCTGTGGGTCTCTCCATCTCCCGGCCCGCACTTCCCAGCCTCGCCACACGGGGGCCCCCTGAGTCTGCCCCTCTGCAGCCAAGGATGGGGTGGGGGAAGCTCGACGTGGGGCAGGGGGGCTTTTGGGGCCCTGGGTCTCCAGAGGTGCCAGTCGTCCCTGGGTCCCAGTGGAGACTGGGGGGAGGGGTGTGTGCAGACGATGCCACTTGTCCGGGGGTCACCAGGGCTGATTGAGAAGAAGGGGAAATGGGGGGAGAGAAGGGGGTGGGGTCCCAGCAGGGTTGGGGGATAGGAGGGGTGTGTTGGGTGGGGGCCCAGGAAGGTTAGTGGCCAGGATGGGGGTGTTGGGTGGGGTCCCAGGATGATTAGGGGCAGGGGAAGGGGTGTCTGTGTTACAGGCACTCAGAATTTGGGGCTCTAACCCCCCCACTCAGGGCTGACTGACCCCCCCTTGCGCCACAGCTGTTGCCTTCCTCTTTCGCCACCCTGCTGACAGTCGCTCCTTTCCCAGCTTCCCAGCTGCCCACCCCGATCCCGGCTCCCCCGGCTCCCCCGGCCCCCAGCCTGTCTCTGAGCCCCCCGAGTCCAGTGAGGGGGCAGCAGGTCCACCTGACATGCTCTGCTCCGAGGGGCTCCAGGGCCGTAGAATTCATTTTGTATGAGCAGAGGAGTGGGCGCTGGGAGAGGCTGGGGTCCCAAAGAAGTGGGATCTGGAGGATCAGCCCCCCGGAGAACAGTGAACTCAGCCGGACTTTCACCTGCTCCTATCGGGTCCAGAGCAGCCCCCCAAGACAGCCCCACTCCCAGTCTCTACAGAGTGATGCAGTGACCTTGGTCCTGACAGGTAATGGGAACCGGGGTCGAGATCTCGGCTTTCGCCTTGCCGCAAAAGGAGGGATTAGGAGCCAGGACTCCTGGGTTCTCTCCCCAGCTCTGGGAGGGGAGTCGGGTCTGATGGTTGTGGCAGGGG